TCAGTTACCATTTTAAAGAAATGCATCACTTCAGATGGTTTGAAACTATATCACGATATAGCCACTTACCCAATACGCTGCCAGTTTTCAGATTTTGTTTTCCAGGGGCTCACCAAGGACATGCTTGGCATATTTTGTAAACATGCATGTCCTATTATAGGGGACTTTAGCATTTAAATCACTCAACTTTCGACTCTTCTGTTTGATCTAAACTAAGTATGAGAACTACATCAAATCCTTATTCACAGCACTTTGCAATGAAGATGTTTTCAGGACCATAAACAAAACCATTCAGTTTCTGTTCCATGGTAAAGAAACATATTCCTACTCCAAGGCGAATGCAGACATGTCAGTCGAATATATGACTCTGTAAAGACAGCTGTTTAAAGTATGAAAGCAAACAGGGGCAAACAGAGGTTCACAAATGCCTACAAGGGAAGGAAAAGATTTAGCCCAAGAATGTCGACACTCCTCTGGCTTGCTGGCACTGCTGACAAAGCTGAACGGTGAAGTTCTCACAGAACATGGGATTTTCTGTCATTGCTTTATAGAAAGAACATATACCCCAGCAAAATTAATATAGAGTTAATAAACACCACCAGTCCATACTGGTATGAAGTAATCAAATGTATTAAGAGGTATTACTTCATCCAGCTTTCCAGCAACATCTTTACTTCAGGAAATTTAGATTAAAAATATCAGCACTTCAAAACTTACTTATACTTCAGGGGACACTAAAATGTGATGGCATTATATAGACAAGCAAAAATGGCTCTTTATATGTGCTCCTCCTACCACCCAACTCTCTCAAGTCCCCTAAAATCCAATGAAAAGCAACTTTTCATCACTCCCATAGGGGACTACATCTGAAGCAAGTGGGAAGGACTTCTAAAGCTAGAAATCTCACATTCAAACTGACAGCTGGGTTTAAGTAAGTTTTTCATTCTTCACTCACCCTAAAACCAGATATGGTGTCCTCACTCCTAAGTACACTTTGGGTTTCCTCCTTTAACCTCTGGGCTTCGAGCAGCCTAATAAAGCTTCTTACTTTGATACAAACACATAAGGAAGTCCTCCTTCAACTGTCTTGAGGTACAGAAGACCTACTTTGTAGGTCTGCTCACAGGACAAATTGCACTGAACAGTATGCGTGCACATGCCAGAGTTATGTATTTTTATAATACTATGTATGCGGCAAGCTTGCTTTCTCAAAGCTAAAATACCAGGGTGGAGTGCTGACACTCTGACCAGCCAATGAAAGTTTTGCTATTACTTCCAAACCAGGTGAGCAGAGGTAGAAATGCAGTATCTTCATCCAGACCCGCAGTTGCATTTGCATTACTGGAAGGGCATCCTGCAAACACAGTAATCCCACATATATCCCATCATAAAATAAAAAAATCCACAACTAGAAATGCATGTCAAATTAAAGTTCTGATAAACCAATGATCTAATTATTTAAATATCTGCTAATATCTTTCAGGGATATTTTCTTTGGACCAAAGATATCTTTTGTGATCCCCTGCAACAGCCAGTGAGGGACCTCAAGTGTGCCAACGAAGACAACAGACATCATTCTACAATCATGTAATAATGCTTTCAAGGGGGAAACCAAAACCACTACCAAGAAAAAAAAACTTCCTTTCTAACTACAGGACAGTACCTCTTTTTACACTGTAGAAAAATTTCCTTTCTATACCTTTTTGGAATTTCAGATACGTAAGTTCTCCTTTCAAATTTGGTAGCTGCCTTAATTTCCACAATCATGTAAAGGACTGTTCAAGTTCTTAATGCATCCTAATGTGCATCCCCCAGCAAAAAGTCTAACTCGTGTTACTCAGCATGACATCCTCAACTAGTTTTGATGAAGAAACTCCAAGCTTAAGCCTTAATGTGGTTAAGAACGTGACTCTCATAGCAGCCTACTGCAAGTGCAGCTTTCTATTGCTTTATTGCCACCACACAGTTAATGTTGTTTTAAGCTGAAGCTACCCAGTACCTGGCACTTCTGCAGACAGGCTCACAAATTCTATTTAAGCATCTTAAAAAAACTGTGCACATCCAAAAGGTAAACTTTCACCATTTCATATCTGAAGATTCCACCGGAAAAAAAAAAAAAGTCAAAACTCACATTAATAGTACTAAAGCACATTTAGGACCTGATTATGTCTAACTGGTCACTACATTAACTATGCAATCTGTAATTGCTTCATCTCGACATTGTACTTCTAAAATACTAGAACAGTTACAATAGCGTATCTATATTTAGAAAGACACATAAAAATGGTGGGACTGATGTAAGGCTTGTTAAGGCAACATAAAAATTCACACTTAAGAGCTTTTTTTAATCAAGCCTTGTTTGAAATACAGTACCTCAGAATTAAGCTAAAATGCTGGCTTTTTATTTTTAGGCTAG